CATCCATCCGTCCGTCCATCCGTCCGTCCATCCATCCATCCTCCATCAACTATCCATCCACACATCATCCACCTGTCCGTCCGTCCATCCATCCATCCAGCATTTACCCATCACCCATCCACATTCCATCTAAACTTGATCACCCAAGCACTCGCTCATTCATCTATCCATGTACTCACCCATCCAACATCCATTTTCCATCCACCATGCCTCTTACCCCTCCATCATCTGCCCATCCTTCCACCCGTAACTATACTTCCCTGCTCACTACTCATCCACCCACACGCCCCATCCATTCACGCACTCTGCCATCCATAAATCACAGATCTATTTTCATCCATCCAACATCTATCCTTTCATCCATTAATACACCCACATGTCCATTCACTCATCTGCCCAAATGGTGCCCACCCACACACTCACTTTGCCATCCATCAACCACAGATTTCCACCCATCCCTCCCTTCACCTGTGTGCCCATCTTCCCACTGTCCGTTCATTCTGCACCCACCTATTACCATTTACCCATTTTCCGTACATCCCTCTATTTATCATCCATCACACATCACAGCTCCAGCCACCTATTCATTTAACCATCTATCCGTCCGTCCAGCTCCAGCCACCTATTCATTTAACCATCTATCCGTCCGTCCACCATCCATCCATCCTTCATCTGCCCATCTTCCCACCACACACTCCTCTGTCCACCTCCCACCATCTACTCTGTGTCCATCATCCACCTATCCACTAGCCATCCCTCATCCCTCACTCATCCATCATTTATCCATTCACCCTTCATCCGTCTGCGTATGCTTCTGTCCACTCATCCACTCCTTCACGTATTCATCTACCAACCATGCATCTATCACCCGTCAATCCATCCACCTGTTCATGTATCCATGTATTATCCATGAATCCATCCACCCACCATCCAACTCACTCATGTACCCATCCGTCATGTGTCTGTCCATCCATCCATCCATCCATCCACCCACCCACCCACCATTTATCTCTGAATCCATTATCCACTCACCCCTCTATTCATTCACGTCTCCATCATCCATCTGCTCACCCATCCCTTCACCAGTCCACCAGCCTCCCATCCATCCAATCTGAGTAGATAAGAGGCTGGTCAGATTGCTCGTGGGCAGCCAGCTAGGACAGGGTCAGCTGCTGGAAGCCCAGGAAGCTACTTCAGCTGGTAGGACAGCTTCCCTGAACCTCTGTGTGCCCCAGAACGAAGGTCAAAGGGGGGTGCAGTGTTGTGCGCCATGCCTGTTTCCCAGACCAGGTTGTTTGGGGGACTAATCAGAGAGCAGGCAGCAGTGTCTACTCAGGGCCTTACATTCTGGTGGGGTGACTGTCCGTGAAGCTGCCACCTGGGTGGGGTGACTGTGGGGCTGCTCGGCACACCCCGTACCTGTCTGAAGAGCAGCTCCTGATCCGAGGCCTGGCGCTGGCCCACTTCTGCCTCCCGCGGGGGTTCTGCGTCCTCCCCGTCACTCTCGGCAGGTTCCTGCTTCACCTGCACGCTGGCCAGTGTATGTGTCCCCTGGTGGCCGGGCAGCCGGTCCAGGAAGGGCTCTTCTAGCAGTGCCTGGTGCTCCCGCAGCTCCTCCTCGGTCTCCTCGGGGTGGCTCTCAGGCTGCCGGGCTGGCTCGCTTGACTTGGAGATGATCTGTAAGCAGAGGGCGTGCTGAGGGGTGGGGAGACCAGGGCCAGTGGGTGTGGGCCGCTGTGCTCCAGAAACAAGGGGCAGCCACCGTGGCTCTGGGCGCTCCTGTCCTGCACTGAGCGGTACGACGGCAATGACCAGAGGTGGTGGTTCAAGCCCTCCCAGGGTGCCTCGGAAGAAAGGTCTGATGACTGGCTGAAAAATGACCTCCTGAAACCCCCTGGAGAACAATGCTGACACACGTGGGCACTGTGGCGGGCCTCTGCTCGAGGGCCTCTGGCAAGGCGAGAGCTGTGGTCACTCCTGCCTGCCTGGAGGTGCAGAGGGGGCACAGAGGGAAGCCCCAGCGGCGGCCAGCAAACCTGGTCAGCCAGGAGAGCAGCCTGAGCGAGGTGCGGACGCTGCTTCCTGGGGCAGTGACTCGGGGAGCCTGCGAGCAGCAGGGGAGCTTGCCCTGCCTGGGACCCCCACGCTCAGCCCGGCTCTCGCCCGTGGCTGCAGGCACTGTGTACCCTCCAGTTTCCCTGTTAATGACGCTGGCGGCCGCTCCTCCTCCTGACTTTGAGTCTTGCTGCACCAGCACGTGAGGTGGAGGCTTTGCTCCACCCATGTCATTATTGGAGATGTGACTGCGGAAAGTGAGGCCGACTTGAAATGCTTGCTACACAGGATTAGAGACTGCGGCCTTCAATATGAGTTACATCTACACACCAAAAAAATGAAAATCCACGCCACCGGGACAAGAGACAGCACTGACAGGAAACAGAAACTGCCAATGACTTGGTCTTGCTTGGATCCATAGTCGACAGGTGTCCCTGGCACCAACAGCCAGGAAATCAAAAGATGTATCACATCGGGAAAGCCGCCTGTCTGGGAACTGTCCACAGTGCTGAAGAGCAAACGGGTCGGTTTGAAGATGAAGGGGCACCTGGTTCTAGCGTGTTTATTTTAAATCACCTGCTATGCAGCTGAGAGCTGGACAGTGAGGAAAGAGGACAGAAGAACCGATGCCTTTGAGCCGTGGTGCTGGAGAGGAGCACTGACCATCCCGTGGATGGCGACAAGGGCACACAAGTATGTTCTGGAGAAGGTCCGGCCAGGGTGCTCCTTGGAGGCAAGGAGAGTGGCTTTGCCTGACATGCTCTGGGCATGTTGTTACAAGGGGCCAGCTCTTGGAAAAGGAAGGCCCATGAGGACGGGTCAGCACAGACTGCAGCAAAGGGCTTGAACACACAGGTTGGTAACAGTGAGGACGGCACAGGAGAGGCCAAGTTCAAATCCACTGTCGCAGGGCTGCTGTGAGTGGTAGTCAAGTCGATGGTCCTAACAACCACTGTTCTGAGAGTGACTATGTGTGGCACGCTTCTCTATAAGGCACCTTTTGTGACACGGGCCACAGGTGTGCTGCATGTGTCCATAGGAAAAGGCATGGGTGGCTTGCAGCTGACCCTGCACCCAGGCCACAGGTGGAGGCCATGCTGCGTGCGACACTGGGGTCATCAGCCACCCTTCCTCTTGGCTCTGATCAGATGCTGACTTGAGTTTCTGGCCACACAGGGCCCACACTCCGGCAGCTCCCACACCACGTTGTGGTGCGTGCTTGGTTTGTGTCACTCTGCAGTTAGCCCTCAGGAGGTGGGGTCCTAGGGACCTCTCCCCGTGAATACACGCTGGTCAGATGCTGAGTGCCTCGGAAGGCCGGGTGGTCTCCTGCGAAGCCCGGGGGACGAGTCACACGTGGGCTTCCAGGTTCGCAGTGCCTCTGCCTGCGGTTTATGGCTACGCTACACTGTTTTCTGGAAACTGCATACTGCTTCTGAAGTGACTCATCACATCCAATCTGAGCTGAAGCAGCTTGAGATTCAGTGCCAGCAGTTAAAAACCAACCTAAGACCACGGCTTTCTTATTTCCAGTGTTGCCACAGTAGCATTTTCTGCCACCCATTTCCTCCTGAAAAGGGGCCACATGGACCTGTGTGAGGGCAGCTGTGACATGCTGACCTGCAGGTGAGCCAGGTTGATCTGTCTGAAGGCGTGACCTCGCTGATCCTGTGGGTACCCTGCGTTGACATATCCTAGGAGCATCTGACTCTGCTGATCTGGGGATGTGAGGACAGTGTGCTGAGGGTCTGAGAACTCATGTGGGGTTGAGTGGACAGGCCTAGGTGGTGTCCCTCCCAGCAGCAGCGTAGCCACAGGGAACACAGCACGATGGTGCAGACACTCACATGCTCCCTGGCTTCGAGGGAATGGACACATCGGCTGGGCAGACACTGCCAGAGACAGGGTCCGACCCAGGCACACCTGCCCTCCATCCCCAGTTCCGGTCCCAGGATGAGTGTGCCATCTCTCCTCTCCAGCCTCCTACAACCTCAAGGTCACAAAGACTGGATTTTCAGCCCTGTAGCCACTCTGCCCACCTGCTGAGCCACAAGCCACAGTCCCAGCTTGTTCCCACTCAGAGCATGGCAGCCAGAGATCACCTGGCTCCCCTACCTGCCGCACCCAACTCCTGGGGGACCCACCTGTTCCTATACGGCTGCTCTTCTCAATGCTCTCTGCCCGCTGCCATGACTCACTGTCCCAGCCTGCACACCTGCCTGGCCCCTTCATACCCATCTGGACAACATTCACCTGACTGGTCGGCACCCACCTGACACCCTTCTGACTGGCCGGCACCCACCCGGCTGGCCCGCATCCACCTGACACCCTTCTGACTGGCCGGCACCCACCCGGCTGGCCCGCATCCACCTGACACCCTTCTGACTGGCCGGCACCCACCCGGCACCCATCTGACTGGCCGGCACCCACCTGACTGGCTGGCACCCACCCGGCACCCACCTGGCACCCTTCTGACTGGCCGGCACCCACCTGACACCCTTTTGACTGGTTGGCACCCACCCGGCTGGCCGGCACCCACCTTGCCCACGTGCAACTGCTGCTGGAACTGCTGTTTGTGCTTCTCCAGGAACTGCTGGTGCTGCTGCTGGATGACCAGGTGCTGCAGGGCCTGTGCATTCTGGGGCAGCGGCGCCGACTGCGTGCGGCCCAGTGGGCGGTGCTGTCGCAGCTTGTGAACCGATGGGGACACGCGGTCGGCCACCAGGGGCTGGGCGTGGAGGGGCAGAGCACTCAGGCCTGAAAGGCAGGGGCCAGCGGTGAGGGAGGGAAATGGCAGGGGACCCAGGAGACGACGAGGGCTGTACCGGAGATCCAGCAGCTGCCCTGGAAGCCAAGGGCTGGCCAGTGCCCGGGCCCAGCTTCCAGCCCACTGAGGACCCAGCGAGCTAAGAAGAGACCTGGCCACCTGCTAGAAGCCGGCCACCACGAGTCCAGCTTCGGTTTACAGAGGATTCGCACTGGCAGGACCGGCCTGCTGGACAGCACAAGGACGTTTAGTCACAGGAGGCTGCGCTCCAATAGGAGCCTGCCTTGAGACACCTGAAAATAAGGCCTGATCATCACCCTCAAAAAGGCCACAGCCCTGCAAAACCCGGCCGGCGACCCTGCACACGGGGGCCACTGTGGCCGCAACACACTGGAGAGCAGCTGCCATGGGGTGGTTTTAGCCTGCTGGCCGTTAGGCTGGTCCAGGAGGTGGTTGGGGGGGAGGCTTCAAAGAGCCCACTGCCCTCCTAAGGGACGCTGTACTGAGGGCCGCAGCCAGCAAGACACCTTCTGGTTGGGTCAGCCTGCAGGGGGCCTGAGAGGGCTCCACAAACCGAGGCAGAGCACGTTCCACTGGTCTCCAGAACTTTCTAGAAGACCTCTAAGGCGCCTACGTGGGAGAGGACCAGCAGCTAAGGGGAAAAATGATCCTTAGTCTGAATTGTTTTAGGGTCTCTTTAAAGCAGGGTGGCATAGTGTCTCGGGCAGCTAACCAAGAAGTCAGCAGTTCAAACCCATAAGGCAGCCTGTGACATATAAATGGCGACCTCGTCCTGTAAACTTCCTGCTGAAAAAGCTCAACGAGAAACCACCAGGAGTCAGCCGAGTGATGACGGTGGGTTAGACTATCAGTGAAGGAGGGGCCGACTGGCTGGGCCTATGGACATCATCTCCACTCCTGGCTTCTGGAAAACAATGGAGTCTGATGTCTAGGAAGCTCTCGGGGCCCCACATTCCCCAGCACACGGGGTGATCCATGGGGGTGCTCTTGTGACTCTCTCCTCGAAGGCACGGGCGCAGGCCCGAAGGCGGACAGACACGCCCCTCATGCTGTTGCCCTCCTGAGCTTTCCTCTGCCCTCTGGGGTGTGAACAACTGACCCTTCCCACCTGGCTGTATGGGCGGAGACCTAGCTCGCAAACTCCCCGCCACCGAGGTGACTGTGACCCGCAGAGCCTCGCGGCCAGGACAGAACTGCCCGTGTGCTGCCCGAGGCTGTAACACTGCGGAACGGACTGCTGGCCTTTCTCCCGTGGGGCGCAGTGGGCTCAAGTCTCAACCACGCACCTAACCAGTCTTTCACAAGGCATCTAAGGAGTCAAAAACCAAAGCTGGTCCATTTCCATCAAGAGGTTCTGACTCCCAGTGGCCCTACAGGGAGGACCAGGACGCCCTGCTCCCCGGGATGGGTGTGTCCGAGGCCGCCACCACAGAGGAGCAGGTTGCCCCAATTTTCTTCCAGCAAGGAGTCCTGGTGGGGCAGCAGGCAAGGTTGCTAGTTTGAATCCAGCAGTGGCTCTGTGGGAGGGACACGGACAGTCTTCTCCCGTCAGGATGTACCACCTCACACACTGTGGAGGGCCACCTGGCTTTGCAAGCTCTGGCTGACACCGCCCTGGAGACGGCTGCGTCCTAACGAATGAACTCAGGTGCTGAGTGACAGTGGAGGCTGGAGTCCCAGGAGGGGCCTCTGAAGAGAGGCCTGGCAATCCGCATCCGGGAATCGGGCGCTGCACACCCTGGGGGGCTCAGCCCTCCTCTGACACTCAAGCTGGAGCCCCCGCTCTCACGTGTGAGGGTCGCCCCTGGGTGTCTCCTTGCTCCTGAAGCACAGTTCCCCACGGACCCCTCGCTGCATACTGATGCTCACCTGTGACCAGGGGCGTCTGTGCCGGTGTCTGCTCCAGGAGGACCAGGTGCTGCAGGAGGGGGTTGTGGGCTGCCCCGCTGTCCCGCTCCAGGGGTGCGGCGCTCAGATAGGGACCAAGGTGGGTGCCGGGGAAAAGGGGGATACGCTGCTGGAGGGCTGGGAGAGCCAGGCGCTCCGCATCCTGCTGGCTGGCTGCCCCCTGTAAGGGACAAGGGGAGGTGGTGGAGGCTGGGCGGGACACCGTCCGGTCCCCAGGCTGTGGCCACGCAGGTATACTCACAGCAGACGGGCCAGTGGCAGGGAGACCCAGTGTGATGTTGGGTAGGGAGGGCGATGTGTACAGGGGGAGGTGCGTCACTGACCCCTCACGGGTCACAAGCCTGTGTGCCAGGGTGGTCTGTGGAGAGAGTGGGACAGTGTCACCAGAAAGGGTCCCGGCCAGTGTGACCCCACCCAGAAGCAGCAGCACACGTAGGCATTGGAGACGCTCAGAGGCCGCTGAGCCAACTTCAGCTCACAGCGACCCACCAACGACAGGACACTGCCTGGGCTGCATCCACCCGGCTTCCCAGCCTCTGACCTCTGCTGTGGTCAAGCCCACCAGAGCAGTTACCCTGGCCATCCAATCACTGGGGTCTTCCCCTCTGACCCACCACTCTTCCACGCACAGTGTCCGTTTCCACAGACCTGTCCTCTCTGGACAGCACACGTGTGACCCAGGTGAGATGGGGCTGCACTTGAGCAGCTGTGATGACACGAACATGGTCTCACGTGCGGGACACCACAGGTCAGGCACAAACTGCTGTGACACCAGGTGACTAAATGTGACAGCGTGGGGCAGAGGCTGGTGGGGCGTCTCAGCAGGTCCCGAACACTCTGTCGCCTTGGCCTGGGCTAGGACAGACGGGTCAGGTGGCTGCATCCTGCTGGCCATTTGTCCTGTCACCTCAACAGCCTCCAAACCTGACTTGACCTTTCGCACAGAACACAACTTTCGGCACGAACTCTAGGAAGTGTTCTGTGGAGGGCGTGTGAGCTGAAGCCCGGTCTTTGGCACAGCAAGCCCTGTGGCTGGCGGGCTGGAGTCAGCGTGG